AGATTTTTGACATTATTTTTAATATTTTTAAATTTTTTTGTCAATTTTTGACTTTTTTGCCTGGACATCAATCCCTCTTCTTTTAGCCTTCTACAAATGGTCCGGTCTGACACAACAATTATAGCTTCATGGATAAGCTTAGTGGCTTTTTTTCTGTTTTCCAGGCAGATATTTCTGTTTATACTGCCCGCTCTTGGTGTTTTCTTGCGTTTAGAAGGTGGTCTCCTCGGACCAAACTCATCCCCTGTATCAGGGGATGAGTTTGGTCCTATTCTTTTTCTTACTTGCGTGAGGTACGGTGCTGTCATAATTAAGTTTATTTACACCTGCCTACTATTACGGTTTGGTAAGAAACCTTTGCGGTTTGTGCAATTTTTCATTGAGAATAATTTGTATTTTGTAAAAGACATGTTAATCAACTTTTAATGTAACTATAATAATAATAACAATGTATAATGCAGGTTCTTAACCAATGGTTTATAATCAAAATTTAATATGGCTAGCGGTAAAGGTAAAGAGAAGTTTAAAGAAACAAACATTAGGTATTTACTTGTAAGTTAAGTGTAAAATTATATATTTTTTAAAAATCACAGTTCGTTTTTTTAATGCTATTTTATTTTTAACTTTTTGATGTATTTGATGCAAATTACTCAGGCAATACCTTTTTTATAGAGAGAGTTTTGTCAATTAAAGTTTCTGCTACAGTTGCCGAAATAAGAAAAGGAATAATGACTTTATTAAAATACGCACTCGACAGACCAAATGGTGGTGGTCGGCGCGTAAAAGGCGATTCACCCGATGTATAACATTCATACTTTTTCCTAGTTGTTCCGGAACAATTGATAATAGTTATTATTGATAAATTGATAAATATATTACTTTATACTTTATTATTACTTTATACTTTATATAAAACTTTTTTTTCAAACATTTTATTTTATTTGCATTGTATATAAAGTCCGTTGAAGCAATTTAGTTGTATCTGATTAATTTACGTGAAATATAATATCCTCTGCGCAAATTATTGCTTTTTTATTGTGTTATTTTATTGCAATTAAAGTTGAGATAATTTTTTAGTTAATTGGATTTAACCAAAATAAAAAACAAAAATCAACGTTGAATTTACGTTGTTTCAACGTTGTATTAACGTCTTATCAACTACGTATCAATCGAATATATCACCTATTCAAAGTTGAAATATGGTTGATATGTAGTCGATAAGACGTTAGATCAACGTTGAAACGACATAATCATCAACGTTGTTTCAACGTCGTAGTTTTTGACGTCGGATTTTATTTCCAATTCATCCAAATTTCAATGTTGTTTTAACGTGGCATATGGTCGGTTTGCGACGTTGTTTCAACGTTATTTCAACGTCATTGTGCCAGCTTGGTTGATATTCCATTTTCGATAGTAACTGATAAAAACATTTTTTGTCAAGTAAATTGTTTTCCTGAAGTGTTAAGGTGAGAAACTTTCTTTTTAGACAATGTTCGGTCTCTAATAAGATCATATAATCTTCATCGGGCTGTTAACTTTAAATTACCTTTAATAAAAATTCTTTGTTGCCTATGCTATTAAATTTGTTTCCTTGACGCCTCTAATTCAGATTTTTTCATTTAAGATCATCTTGAGAAGACGGACTTTTACTTATGTTTTTTTAATAAAATTCTTCATGGTTTGTTTTCTAAATGTTAAATAAATGTTTTTCAGCCCTAAACTATTTATTTACTATATTTAGATTAATATATATATTTTAGTGTTTTGGTTAGAGTTTTGTAAAATACCGGAAGAAAAAAAGTTCTTTGGAAAGGATATCGACAACAACAAATTAACTTTTTTCGTACCGAAATAAACAAAAAATTTGACATCACCGATGTTCATTTTGCAAGTACTCATTTCAAAATATAGCTTTTCGCAAGTTGAATTTCAAATTAAAACTTTTTTTCAACCTACGAAATTAGCGCTTTTAGCATTTGCGAAACAAGCGCTTTTGCTTAACTACCCTTATAAAACTTTGTTTGCTAAATGGATTGAATTGTAAAAATTAAACATCTTTATGTACCAAAATGTTTTTAATTAAATGCTATTTTCAGAATCACAAAATATAAACAATAAAAAAGTTGACTTTTTGAAACAATGACAAAAATTAAAATTTATGCCGAAATGAAATCCTTCGCAACAGTAAATTGCGGAAAAGTGATTTTCGGAAAAAAAATTAGGAAATAGTCATAATAAATTTATTTTATTATGAACCAAAAATATTATTTTATGTATTATTTTACCAGTATTATTTTATGAACTAAAAATGCATGTAACTAAGTCCTATATCTTATTGATATTCATGTTTCAAATGCGTATACAAATTTATATAAATAAAAAAACGGTATTCATAATATATACTTCTAAAATGCCATTTAACGTACAAGAATTAAATAATGTAAATAACATGAATTACACTAAAAATAAACTAAAAAAAAATTTAAAGCAACTAAATCGTATGAATGGGATCATATAGATGTGCCAATAATTAATAATAAATTTGTAATGTGTCAACATTGCAAAAAAAAAGTCTGAAGAAAATAGTAAATAGAAAATAAAATAGTCTGAGGATTCAACAAGCAACATAACTTTGACATTTTAAATCTTTCCATAAAATATTATATCGTTATGTTTTTAAGATTTGTAATATCTGATGCAGGGGTGAAACTAAGAATAAGATGATACATAATAAATAATAAATATAATACTACTATTAAAATAAAGTTGTAATAAAATAATATATATATATATATATTATATATATATATATATATATATATATATATATATAATATATATATATATACATATATACATATATATATAAATGCCCAATTAACCAACTATATTCCTCAAAATGTATGCATATATATATAATACAATTTTTTTTAAATCATTAGCAAACAAGATTGAAATCAGTTTTAACAGTGCATTATAAAAATTATTTGTATAAAATAAAAACAGTAGTGGACCTAGAATTGATTGTTGAGGGAATCCACATGAAACACTCGATTTAGACATTATATAATTTTTTTTCTATTGGTAGGCTTTTAATAATAACAAGTTTTATCAAAGTCATAAAATATAAGTTATTATTACTACGATAGTACTTATTAATTTAATAAAACTTGTTTATATTGCACAATAAATTTGTGAATATTGCACAATAATATTGTTTACACAGTTGCACACATCATACAAACTTCTGCTCTTAGATGTTAGTCTTTTACAATACTGACGTTTTTACAATCGTAATGAAGATTCTAGGCTTTCAAACTAAAGATAAGTTTAATTTGAAGCTTTAAACAAAAAGCTTTTTAGAGCCAAGAGGTTCCTGGCTTTAAAATACTCTAATTAAAAACTGTATAAAGTAGGTACTTTACGATTGTAAAGGCAGAATCTAACATTAGAAGTTTGTGTGATGTCTGCAACGGGGTCAACAATGTTATTTTGCAATATACATATTAAATATTATTAAACATTTTTAACAGTGTCCTGTTGAAAATATTTTAATAAGGTAAATTTTATAACTGAAACTTACTTTTAATATAATTTTTTTTTATTCAAATTATACTCTTTTAATCAAAATTTACTTTTTTTAAGAAGTTAGCAAGGATGATCAACACAAACAAAAGAAATCAAAATGCTGAATAAAAATTTAAGAGTGTTAACTATTATGATGTCAAAATCTCACCAAAATTTTACCAGAGTTTAACTGACCAGGCTTTATTTGATTGCCTCTTTGTATTAATACTACTATTAAAATTAGGCCGTTTATGAGAACAGGCTTTTGATGTCATCTTTTTTTTATTTTTAAACTGTATAAAAAATCTATTTATTTCGTTGATCATTAACTTGATTTTTTTTATTAATAGTTTACATGTTATAAATTTTACGTACAGAGAATGATGGGTTAGAAATGTTAACATTAAAGCGTACATAAAACCAATTGATGGGTTTCAGATGAGGTACGCTGCTGTCATAATTAAGTTTATTTACACCTGCCTACTCTAATTAATAATTATTTCATAGTTTTAGAAAAAAAATTTGTACAAACTTTATTTAGTGAGCCCAATAACGGACATACCAGGAACATATTCTTTGAAGTGCTAGCGCATTATCTTTGCGTTCTATTCACAAGTAAGGGAAATTGCTACTTTCCCTAACCTTTAACATATTAGAAAAAACATTACTTATTATAGTTGCATTAATTTCAATTAAAAACAAAAATTTTAAAATAGCGTTTAGTGAATCGTAACATACTCATGTAGATTATATGCTTCATTTTCTTAAATACATTTTTAAATTTAGAGTTTGCAGCCTGGTTTAATTATGTTTCAATTTTGAAGATATGAGTGTGGAGCATCCATGCTTATGGATGCTTGTATATTTTTGACTGTTTAACTTTCACACTAATTCTTAAATTAAAAGTACAATACTAATTATTTGAACATATATTCAACATTTGAGTACTATATTCGACAAAATTAACTACTTCTTGTTGTTTTTATTTTTGTAAATGCAGACAGTTTTTGTTCTTTAAGCTTGTTTTTAACTTATTTCAAAGATGTTTAATGATAAGATGTTAAATGATGATTAATTGACTTGTAAAAAAAAAAATTGTAAGGTGACGAACACACATACCATAATCCGGTTTATTTATCTTGGTATGTGTATGTTTGTTTTCTTCCTTCTCGTTTCAATTAATTTACGCAATATATTTTACGTTTTAAAGCCTAATATTTTCTGCATTTACTTTTGTGAAAGAAATTGCGCAAAATTTTATGAATAAAAATACTTTTTTGTAAAAATTATCTTCTGTTAGAAAAATTTGCCCAGAACTTTCCATTCACGGTTAATGTGATGAAAGATAATTCAAAATACATAAATTAATTAAAAAAAAAAAAAAAGAGTTTTAGAAATATGTATAATAAAGCTTTTCAACTGTGTCCAATTACCTGTTTTTTCAGTCTTTCCATTTCACCACCTCTGCTTTAGCTTTTAAAAATAAAAAAACAATTTTAATGCATAAATATAAAGTTACGTCAATGCATAATTAAAAGTACGTAACATAAATTAAAGGATTTAAAATTTTAAAATTTATCAATACTATTCACATGTTAATATAGTGTTAACACCATATCAACATTGCAGAAAAACACCTTTAATATTTATTAATATTTGTATCTACATTTGGGTTCACCTTTTCATGACGCATTTGCAATGTATAGATGATTATTAAATAAAACAAAAAAGGAGAGAAAAAAGTTAACTATTGTTAACAATACTTGTTAATTGTGGGTTATAAGCATCTATCTGGAATACCTGCTTAATCTAATGTCTCTGTTTGTAGATAGCGCATTTAGGATTTTTTACTGGATTTACTTCTTTTAAGAAATAAAAATTTGAATGAATTAAAGCTAATTAAAACTAATAACTAAATTTTTGAAATAAACTAGATGCATGAAAAAATATTGGAAAAAAACATCAAGTTCCATTTTTTTGTCTTGTTTTTAATTTAGGTTGTCAAGTTAAACAAAACTAGTTTCAGATTCCATTAACACATCAAATAGTATAAAAAGATGCCTAAAAGTTAACTTTCGTGGTACAGTCGTGAGATCTAAAAAATTATAATGTAAATGAGCGTTTTAGGTTGTGAAGATTCTAAAATAAAAATTTATCATTTCAAAACCTCGCAGTTCTTGACTTATCGAGCTTCGAAAAACCATCTAAACAATTTATCGATTTTTTTTCGATATTTCATATTTACCATGAAAATTTTTTTTTCCATTATAATGTAATTAGTTTTTTAATTTCTAATGGTTTAAAGACAAAAAAAAAATTTTTTGTAAGCATAAACGAAGGTATTGCATTAACGTGTAGTTATCGTTCAACAAATATCGACTTTATCGATTTATATTTAATTTAGACAGTAAAACAAATTTTTACAATCTGATTCTCTTTTAAAAAGCGTTTTTATTTATTTCTAAATGTTAAATCTAAAAACTATTAGTTAAAAGAACTTGATAATATGAAGAAAGGTTAATTAGAACTTACTTTTAATAAAATTTTAATACTAAAGCCTTAATTCATATTTGTCATAATTATCAACAAAATCGTTGTAAACATCGCCGTCAACAGCAGAATCAGTGTTCTTTCGCTTTGTTCAGTTACATAGATCTGAATACTTTAAAGTCAATTTTGTGTACGAGCAGCTTTTAGTTTCACAACTAATTCCATAAATGCACTTTACGAAGTTCAATACACTTTCTAGCGCTAGTCAGGGTTAGCGCTAAATTCATAAATCATTCAACAAATTTTGCTTCACTAATTAACCTAAATTACGAATATGGTTAATAGCATTTCGTTTATTATTTCTATGCTCTACAGCTTAGCGAGGTAATAATGCATCTTTTGTTTCTGCCAGACTTAGATGTTGCACTGACCATTATTATAGCATCTTTAAGAAGTTTTTTGATTATTTAGTTCAAAACAATATATTATTAATGAATCATAACAAACAAATCATGTAGCTATGTTATGTACCGCCTATATTCCAAGTTGCTACTTTTTATTTTTACTACCTATTATCTCTTATCCCGCCATTTCACAAGAAACTATAAAATTAGAACTAGAAATGTTGAATTCTTGCTGTGGTTAACATACGTAACCATAAAGTTTTTCCATAAGGCATGGGTGTGTACGAGAACCAATTTAAATATTGCAAAACTACTTTTAAATTGTCGAACATATAAAAGAGAAAATATATAATTTCATTTGTTTATTTCAAATAAAATAATCATTAAAATTACATTGTTATTGAACAACTTATCGAAGAATTTTTAATCAAGTATCGTCTGTCTTCGTGGTTATTTCGCAAATTAAAAGCTTATTATTTTTTATTTCATTATTAATTATATCATTATTTGCTCATTATTAAAACTTCTTCTTTGAGCAACTCGTGATTGATACAGTATTTCTTTTCAAAAAAAGCAGTAAAAAATATAAAACTGTTAGTACTGAATTTTACAAGCATTACATAGACCATCTAATTGTATCTTTTAGGTTCGTAGTGCAGTAATGAGCTCTAACCGTTTTTCAAACTTTTATGTGTTTTAAAGTATAATAAATCTATTATTAAATTTCTTCAGCTTTTCAAATGCGCAGTTTTAAAGATATATCTCCTTTCAATTTGCAATTTTCATTCTTAACATGCATGTTTTGATTCCTCTTTGCCACATTTACTCGTATCGTTTTAATGTTTGTTTATTTTGCAGAAGATAAACTCTAAAAAAGAACCATTAACTTTAAAAAAAACTCAAAAATTATATTCTACAAATTACACAACAATATACAAAATCAATAATATTTTTGGTTATTCATAAACTAAATGTCAGCCGAGTGCAACAAATCAATCTGTATTGTTCATGTAAGTAGAATCATTGGTGTGTTGAATAAGTTTTCAAAAAAACATTCGAAATTTTCTGAAAAAAAGAACAAAAAATTGTTGCAGAGAATTCTCTTAATTTTGTTGCAAAAATGTTTCATTTTAAGATCTAAATGCTACAGTTAGACTTATAGGAAGCACTTACCCTCCATTTTATTATTTAAAACCTTATTAAAGGTTTTCCAACAAAGCCCTTATTGAAAGAGTAGAAAAAAATAATGAATCTAAACCCAATAATAAAAGCAGATCTACTTCACTAACACTTAGTACTAGTGTTTGGAACTATGTATTTTTTTTAAGAGTGAGAACACTGTTTCTCCCGATGACAATGTTTATAATGTTGGTGTTGATGATTACGACGAAAAATTATTTGAAGAAGAATTTTTATTAAAATATACCAAATTCATTATCTTTAACTAATATTTTTAAATTTTATATATTTACATGTAGTTCAAAACACTTTTTAAAAAGTAGCAGATTGTAGGCTATTAGTTTATTGTTTAAATGGAAAATAAATTAATAAAGTTAATTATTTTACACAACAACAGCAATTTTATACAAAACTTTAATACTTTAACAATAACATTTTTTACATCAAAAAATTGCAAATTGATAACTCATCTAAATATAGAAGAAAATTTTATTATAAAATGGTTAAAACCAAAACTCATTACATCGTAAGTGATGGATTTTTAAAGCCCAATAGATCAAAAACAGCAAGAGGTACAGCATTAAAAATTTAAGCAAAGAAAAGATTAACCTTGGTAGAAAAAAAAAAAACGTTTTGAGAAACGTCAAACTTGCGCAAAGACAGAAACAGGTATGCAAAAATAATGATAATGAATGATGATAATGGATGCACAGCCAAACAATTAAGTATTTAAAAGAACATGTCTGAATCATTTTTACTATAACTTGGATTAAGAGCTTTGACAAATATGTATGTATGTATGTATATATGTATGTATGTATGTATGTATGTATGTATGTATGTATGTATGTATGTATGTATGTATGTATGTATGTATGTATGTATGTATATATGTATGTATGTATCTGTATGTATCAATATATATATATATATATATATATATATATATATATATATACATATATATACATATATATATATATATATATATATATATATATATATATATATATATATATATATATATATATATATATAAATGGGATGGTGTCCCTGTTAATGCTTTTAGTGTGCATTGTCAAGATCACATAAGGAGCCCTATGTCACGGCTTAGGGTTAGTTAACAGGACTGAGACAACTGCATAGCTCATTGATTAGGAGGCTGTGCTCTATCTATGAATGAGTCAAGTTCTCATTAGACCCAAATCATGACCAAAGTAACCAAAAATTCAAAACCTAAAAAACCATCCCCACCACCTAAATATTTTAATATATCTTTTACAAATATTCGCGGTCTACGAAGCAACTTTCTATCAGTTGAGTCTTACCTCCTGCAAAATTCACCAGACTTGCTTGCACTCAGTGAAACAAATTTAAGTTCTGCAATTCCTTCTTCAGATGTCAGTGTTGATGGGTACTATCCTTTGATTCGTAAAGACTCCAATAGTCACATGCTAGGTTTAGGGGTATACATACGCATTAATTCCCCTATTTGTCGTGAAATCAGGTTCAAATCCTTTGACCATTCTTTTATGTGCTTTCGCCTAGCACCTCTTCACTCTATCACCTTTCTCTTTGTTCTTTATCGTTCTCCTTCTTCCCATGATTGCACTCTTTTAGATGTTATCTCTGATCAAATTGACCATGCCCTCTCTCTTTACCCCTCTGCCAATATTGTTGTTGTTTGTGATTTTAATGCTTATCACACTGAATGGCTTGACTCTAACACCACTAATCCTGCTGGCACTAAAGCCTTTAACTTCTGCGTTTCTCAATCTCTTACTCAGATAGTTAACTTTGTGACTCGTTTTCCTGACAACCATAATCATTTACCTTCACTCCTTGACTTATGTCTTGTCTCTGACCCTAGCTTATGTTCAGTTTCTCCCTTTCCTCCCTTAGGTGGTTCTGACCATGCAATGATCTCTATAAATCTTTCTTCTAGTACTTCTTTTTTGGGCTCACCTTATCATTGCACCACCTACTACTACCCTAAAGCTGACTGGGATTCCTTTCGTGATTTTCTTCGTGATGGTCCTTGGGCAGATGTTTTTTTCTCTCTCAGCTGACAAATGTGCCTCCTACGTAACCTCCTGGATTCAGGCTGGAATGGAAGCTTTTATTCCTTCTCGTCGGTTTCAAGTCAAGCCTCATTCTACTCCATGGTTTTCTCCTTCTTGTGCGGCTGCTATATCCAATCGTAACCATTTTTTCATCTTTTTCAAAAGAACAACTCTCTTGAGAACAAACGGCTATTTATTATTGCAAGAAATCGATGTAAAAAGGTGCTTTCTGATGCTAAACTCCATTATTCTCAGTTCACTAAATCTCGCATCTTATCGCAGAAGTTAGGTTCTAAAGACTTTTGGAAAATCTTCAACAGCATTGTTAACAAGGGTAGATCTAACATTCCATCTCTCATTCATGGGACTGATCTTGTTACCTCTCCCAGGGATAAGGCAGAACTGTTTGCAAAGAACTTTTCTTCTAATTCCACTCTTGAATCATATGGACACTCTCTTCCTTCCATTCCAGTCAAACAGGTTGACCCATTGTTAGACATTCAAATCACTCCGGCTTCTGTTGCTAAAGTCATATCTCAATTAAACTCGTCTACAGCTTGTGGTTCAGACAACATTCCTGTCACAGTCTTGCAGAATTGTTCTCCAGAACTTTCTTAAATTCTCTCTAAACTATTTAACAAGTGTTTGACTGAGTCTTGTTTTCCTGCTTGTTAGAAAATAGCATTTGTGGTTCCAATATTCAAAAACTCTGGAAAAAATTGTGACCCCTCCAGTTATCGTCCGATCAGTCTTCTTTCTGTTATTAGCAAGGTCTTTGAGTCTTTGATCAACAAATTCCTCACATCTCATCTTGAGTCAAATAAACTGCTGTCAGACAATCAATACACTTTTCGATCCTCTCGCTCTACGGCCAACTTGCTAACTGCTGTAACTGAAAAATTTTATCGTGTATTAGATGGAGGCGGTGAGGCTAGGGCTATTGCTCTCGACATATCTAAAGCTTTCGACAAAGTTTGGCATGCTGGTCTTCTCCATAAGCTTGCTTCATATGGTGTTTCTGGGAAAGTTTTTAAGATTATCAAATCATTTCTTACTGACCAGTTTATTAAAGTCATCCTTGAAGGCCAACACTCTTCTTTATTTCCAGTAACTTCTGGGGTTCCCCAAGGTTCCATCCTGGGCCCTGTTTTGTTTCTTATCTACATAAACGATCTTCCTGACAACCTTTCATCTAAAGTAGCTCTTTTTGCTGATGACTCAACTTTATACTCCTGTCTTGACAAAAAGTCTTCTCTTTTCGATCGCCTAGAACAAGCAGCTGATCTTGAATCTGATCTCACTTCAGTAATAGATTGGGGTTCACAGTGGCTTGTGAATTTCAACTCTAAAAAAACCCAATTGCTTACTGCAAACAACTACCGTAATATGGTCAACATTCCTATATTAATGAATGGCAATCCTCTTACTGAGTCATCCTCTTTACGTCTTCTTGGATTATCGCTTACTACTGACCTTTCATGGAAGCCATATATACAATCGATTGCTAAATTAGCTTCTGCTAAGGTTGCTTCTCTTTATCGTGCTCGCCATTTCGTTACTTCTGATTCCATTCTCTACCTCTACAAATCTCTTATTCGTCCCTGTATGCAATACTGTTGTCATATTTGGGCTGGTTCTTCTAACGATTCACTCTCTCTTCTTGACAAGGTCCAAAAACGCATTGTAAATGTTGTTGGACCTGGACTATTTACTAAGCTTGAACCTCTTTCCCATCGTCGTAAAGTTGCATCTCTTTCTCTTTTCTACAGATACTATCATGGTCACTGCTCAAAGGAGTTATCATCTCTAGTTCCATCAACTAAAATTCATTCTCGTTTTACTCGTCATTCAAGTCTCATTCGTTTTCTGTATCTGTCCCTGCATGCTCTAAAAACTTTTATTCATCTAGTTTTTTTCCCCGCACTTCAATCCTTTGGAACTCTCTCCCATCTTCATGTTTTCCTGACTCATACAACCTTCAACTTTTTAAGTCTTCTGTCAACCGTTTCCTTGCTCTATAACTCTTTTCTTTTTTTTTTCTAGTAACTCCCAACTTAATAGTGGTTGCTTGTAGCCTTGTTGGGAGTGAATGCAAATAAAAATATATATATATATATATATATATATATATATATATATATATATATATATATATATATATATATATATATATATATATATATATATATATATATATATATATATACATACATGAAATAATTTTACCTTGTTCATTTACTTCAAGTATTTTGTCAAACTTTGTTTAAGTATATCTCTGCTATTATACAAATTAAACACATTTCTGATAACATGTGTGGTTTCTTTTTATAATTATTAAGGTTACAAGAGGAATTATAACTATTGCTTTTCTACAGAACTTTTTATCTCTGGTGTTGCTTAAGAACCAGATCTTCTTTTATTTTTGGCGTCAGACTAATTCATTCTTTTTCATTTTTTTTCAAAATTTTGATTACATTTTAAATGGATAATGAGTGATTCTTGCAAGTGTAACTGTGTATTTAGTGTTGATGATAATGCATTATCATCATGTTTCATTGATGAAACAATCTTCCCAACAAAATTAAGAGAATTTTCCACAACACTTTTCATTCTAATTGCAACTAAGCTCTTTTTATACATAGATCTGCATTGGTTCTTTTTTATTTTAACTAATTTAATACGCCAGTGATTTCACTTAAATTAATAAGACTGTACAAAGTTGGTTAGCCCTAGATAGGATGCACCAAAAGCACATTTATAATTTTTATAAAAACGCCGACCTAGAAAGCCCGTTACA